TTTTCTAATGTATTCTTTACAAAAATACAATGGTGGGTGGGTGTGGTGGCGCAGTGGGTTAAGCCACCACTTGGGATGCTCACATTGATATCAGAGTGCCTGGGATCAAGTTCTCATTCCATATCCAATCCACCTCTTTTTTGTGCTCCTGTTTCAAGCCCTGTTTCCTCATTTACCATGAGACAGGACGCGGAGCTTGGGTAACACGAAGATGCCCAATGGGAGGGAGGGAAGTAATGCTTATTAGCAACAAAAGGAGGGGAGAGAGATTTCATTTTCCTTTTTCTCAGTGCAAGGTCAGAGAATACTTCATGGAGAAGGTAGCATTTTAACAAGGTCTCGTTAGGTGAATTATAAGCAGTTGATATACATGGGGAGTACATTTCTTGTAAAGGAAACAGCCTGAACAAAGGTACAGAGGCTGGGTAGCGGGCCTATGTTTGGGGAGGGCAGTAGACTAGGAATGCATGCATGGAAAGGCTGGCCTGGATTGTGGAGATCTCCCCAGCACCACACTGTGGAACTGGGACTGAATTCTATGGCCTTAGGAAACCACTCAAGGTTTTTGAAAAGGGGATCTACACAATCTGACCTGTGTTTCAGAAAATAAGATTTGTCGCAGTATGTAGGCTAGACTGGGGAGGAGGAAGCCTGGAGCTGTGAAGATGAGTTATTGTTATTGCAATAGTTTGTGCAAGAGATTATGAAAGCCAGAATTAGGGTGGGAGTGGAGAGCAACAGAAGACTTTGAGAAATGCATTGCTCTAAAATATCATCAACAGAATACTCCCTGCTAATGAAAACACTAACTCAGTCTACGTAAGCTACTGGTGGTACATCAGTAACACATTTTTTTTTTTGATAGGCAGAGTGGACAGTGAGAGAGAGATACAGAGAGAAAGGTCTTCCTTTGCCGTTGGTTCACCTTCCAATGGCTTCCACGGCTGGCACGCTGCAGACGGCACACCGCGCTGATCCGAAGGCAGGAGCCAGGTGCTTCTCCTGGTTTCCCATGTGGGTGCAGGGCCCAAGCACTTGGGCCATCCTCCACTGCACTCCCGGGCCACAGCAGAGAGCTGGCCTGGAAGAGGGGCAACTGGGACAGAATCCGGCGCCCCGACCGGGACTAGAACCCACTGTGCTGGCGCCGCTAGGCGGAGGATTAGCCTATTGAGCCACGCGCTGGCCATCAGTAACACATTTCAATTCAACATATCTTTATTGACCAGCTACCAGAAGACAGATGTTGTGTTAGGCCCTGAAAGGAATACAAAAATAAATAGAAAACAGTTTCTCCACAACTATTTTTTTTTTACATAATTTTGCTGTGTATTATTCCAAGCCTTTTTACATACTAAACTAATCCTCAGGACAACCCCACATAGTAACTTATTTTCTCCATTTTATAGGTGAGAACATAGAAGATTAGGGGGATAAAACCATTTGCTAAAGGTCAAACAGGGAGTTTAAAGGTCACACTGTTTTCCTAGTACTCCCTCATACACAAACACATTGGGTTAGGCACAGATACCCTCCCCCCCCCCGCCCCAAGCTGGGCTGTGTAGAGCTTCTTAGCTGACATCCATGCTTCCACTCCTCCCTTACCTGCATCTTCACTCAGAAGCTAACATCATATTTTTAAGAACCTAAAACTGGCCAGTGCCGTGGCTCAGTAGGCTAATCCTCCACCTAGCGGCGCCGGCACACCGGGTTCTAGTCCCGGTCGGGGCACCGGATTTTGTCCCGGTTGCCCCTCTTCCAGGCCAGCTCTCTGCTGTGGCCCGGGAGTGCAGTGGAGGATGGCCCAAGTGCTTGGGCCCTGCACCCCATGGGAGACCAGGAGAAGCACCTGGCTCCTGGCTTCGGATCAGTGCGGTGTGCAGGCCGCAGTGCGCCAGCCGTGGTGGCCATTGGAGGGTGAACCAACGGCAAAAGGAAGACCTTTCTCTCTGTCTCTCTCTCTCTCACTATCCACTCTGCCTGTCAAAAAAAAAAAAAAGAACCTAAAACTAAACACACAAGCTACTGCTCCGATTTCTCTGATTTACATCTTTCCATGATTTCCCACTACACTTTTTTTTTTTTTTTGAAAGAACTTCGGAGGATTTGGTGTAGATTTTAGCCCATAGAACTACCTTTCAGGACAACATATGCTTTTTTGTTTTAAAAGATTTGTTTTTATTTATTGGAAAGACAGAGTTACAGAGAGAGGTAGAGACAGAAAGCAGCAGAAGAAGGCCCGAGTCCCTGGGACCCTGCACCCTTATGGGAGACCTGGAAAAAGCTCCTGGCTTACCTGGCTTCAGGTCAGCTCAGCTCTGGCTATGGCAGCCATTTGGGGAATGAACCAGTGCATGGAAGACCTCTCTCTCTGTTTCTACTCTCTCTGTAACTCTCATATAAATAAAATAAACCTTTAAAAAATTTTAAAGAAAAAATTCAGTCCGTGATCTTGGGGGATGAACATAACTTGGTGAACTCAGTTTTTTAATTTGCAAAGTGGGACTAATGCTATCCATCAAAATGGCTCATGTTGAGCATTCAATAAGATAACATGTATAGGTTGCCTAAAGCAATATTTGCTGCCTTGTAGGTACTGAATGTCAGTTATTAATTTTAATGATAAGGATAAAAAACACTTAGATGAGTTTGAGAGTGAAATCATTTGTCCATTCCTTGCTTCCATCATGCCATTTCGGCACTGACAAGAAGAGAAATAGACTTTCTTCCTGACTTGTCTTCCTGATGGGAGGAAGCCATGCAATCTTTTTCTGAAGCTGAGAGTCGCAAGGCTCTGAAAGTAATTTCCAACAGCTCCTGATTCTCACCTAACATTATCATCTTCTTATTTATTTTTAAAGATTTTATTTATTTATTTGAAAGAGTTACACATAAAGAGATAAAGAGAGGCAGAGAAAGAGAGAGAGAGAGAGAGAAAGTCTTCCATCCACTGGTTCACTCTCCAATTGACCACAGTTGGGGAAGCTGTACTGATCCAAAGCCAGGATCCAGGAGCTTCTGCTGGGTCTCCCTCATGGGTGCAGGGGCCCAAGCACTTGGGCCATCTTCTACTGCATTCCCAGGCCACAGTAGAGAGCTGGATTAGAAGAGGAGCAGCCAGGAAAAGAACCAGTACTCATATGGGATGCCAGCACTGCAGGTGGTGGCTTTACCCACTATGCCACAGCACCAGCCCCCTGCCTCCTTGCTTTTAAAGTGGAACTAATTTCTAGTAGATGCCAACCAAATTCTTTTTCCTGGTTTTTCTCTTCGAGCTAGCCAGATGGCCTGGTGCTAGAGAGGGGTAGGGAGGAGGCTTCAGTTCTGCCTGCAAGAGCTGTATCACCTCTAAAACAACTCCACATGGAGAGCGAGGAGAGGAGTGGTGCTTCATCTCCTGACCCTGAAGTCACAGCAAGTGTTTCACAGGGGAGGGATGGTTTCAATCAGCCGAGCTTGCATGTGGAGGCCTCCTGGCTCCTCTTCTCCACCTTCTCTTGTGCCAGAATCTTACTCCAGAAAGACTGAACCAGGCCACTGATAGAATTACATCCAGTGCAGTCCTCACCCTGGGGTGAGCTTCATGACCCTGAGCATGATGTGAGTCTCAAAGCAGGCACCCAATAAACACACGTTGAGTGACTGATAAATTATAAGTGTATAATGGACAACTTTACATACATACAAATTTACAGGCCTCTGCTATGAGGCATCTGTCTCCAAACACTTTCTCCTTTGTGTTCCCTTTCGTGTTTTTTTCTTTTGCTCCTTAGGTTCACTTGTTATGCCTCCTCCCATCCCCATATACACTTGCACATGTGTGTGCACACACACAGTCCTTAGATCAAAAAGATATGGATATGTAATAGGTCAGTTTTGATTATACTAAAAACAACATGCCCACTGAAATTGTAATAGACCTCAGCAAAATTTCTGTTCTGCTGCTAGTTTAATCACATTGAAAATGTAAGCAAAGAGTGATGGAGTTTATTCCACTATTAGGAAAATGTGATATCCTGTACACTCATAAAATTATAGTTATTTATTTACTTCCTTTTTTATTTGTTTGAAAGGGAGAGGGAGAGAGAAAGAGAGAGCAAGAGTGATCTGGGTGAGGCCAAAGCCAGGAGTTAGAAACAGTCCAGGTCTCGCACATGGGTGGCAGGGTCGCAACTACTTGAGCCATTACCTGCTGCCTCTCAGTATGCACATTAGCAGGAACATGGGATTTAAAGTTGAGCCAGAACTAAAATCCAGTCACTCTGATATGGGATGCAGGCATCACAAGAGGAATCTTAACTGCTGTACAAAATACCTGACTCATATCATATTTAGGATGAGTTGGTGAGACCTAACTGGCTTTTTAAGCCTGGATAATACCCACAAAGGAAGACATTCTAGACTAGAAAGTAAGCAGAAAAGTGTGACAATATGTATTGACAAAGAGTGGCCAAACAAATAAAGGAAAGAAGGCTGCAAAGGTAGTATATAAAGAACAGGAAAGAGAGGGGTATTTGCCCATCTGCCATTGCTAAAAGCACTGTGATATATCGGTCAGGTAACAATAAAACCATTCACTGTGCATTTTATGTTTCAGTGGATACAAGAACCCATTAGAATGCATTGGAGGACATTTAACCTAATATGGAAGAATAACTATCAGGTGGTCAACACAGGTATGAGTAGAACTAGGCTCTTGAAATGGAGCTGTTGTGGAAGATCAAGGTATATCCGAATCTTGGTAGGAAGGGCACTGTAGTTGATAATAAGAAGTGACCACAAATTCTTCTCATCCAAATTCTCATTCCTATACTCATGCCTTTATGTAATGTACACTTTTCGACTCATTCTATCCAGAGGTATAATCTCTTTTCCATCCATTCATTTAAGATTTCGCTGTTTGACTTGTTTTCTATGTTTAATGTGTTGTAACTAAGTGCTTGAAAATGACATATTTTTGGGTTTTTGTCTTCTTCTCTCCGTCCTTGAAAATCCTGCAGTTACCACCATGTAAAGATTCCTGGGCAAGCCTGCTGAGTGGTGAGAGATATTCCCATCACCCTCTTTGCTCAAGCTGAAAAACATCAACAGGCTATCAGTCGTGAAGTCATCAAGCAAACCAGGAAGTTGCCTACAGCACATGAGTGAGCCTGGCCAAGATCCACAGAAGAACCACCCCCAGAAAGCCAAGTCCATATTGCCAACACAGGGAATTGTAAGATAAATGAATGGTTGTGATTATAAGGCACTAAGTTTGGGAGTGGTCTGTTCTGTTATACAGCAAAAAAAAATTAAAAACTGAAATACCAGATGAGTCACTAGTTGAGTTTCTCAGCAATTAGAATTGAGCAAAGAGATGCTCTAAATCTTGAGAACAAATTAGGAGGCCAGTGACAAAACTGTACAAACAGGAAAATGGGACTTCATGTGAGGTAGATAAGGAGAAGCAAATCTGTCAGATTTGGGGTCATTACATTAAGGCTGGGAAGACTTTCAAAAGAAATTTTATTAAAGATTTATTTATTTTATTTGAAAGTCAGAGTTACAGAAAGAGAGACACAAGGAAATCTTCCATCCTCTTGTTCACTCTCCTGATGGTTACAATGTCCAGGACAGGGCCAAACTGAAGACAGGTGCCTGGAACTCCTTCTGTTTCTCCCATGTGGGTGCACACGTCCAAGGACGTGGGCCATTTTATTTTGCTTTCCCAGAGGCATTAGCAGGGTGCTGGATCAGAAGTGGAGCAGCCCCTACTTGAACCTGCACCCAAATGAGATACTGGCACTGAAGATGGTGGCCTTACCAGTTACTTTGCAATGCTGGCCCCTCAAAAGAACATATTCATATTTAATGTGCCATTGCAGACACAAACTTCCCAAGTGCTTCCTGTGTCATTCAGTGTGGTTTCTAGGAAGCTTGACTTTTAAATTTCCCTACCCATCTTTTCTATCCATTTCCATAGAAACTAGTTTGAGTCTTTTCCTAACTCTTCAAATAGCTGACCACACTTTTTCTTCCTGTCTCAACTGAAGATCTTACCTACTATGTCATAGAGAAAGTAGAAGAAACAACATAAGAACTGAGTCAATTCTCTGTGACAAGAGGTTCATACTCAAGCACCCCAACCCAGACTTGCCTCCTCCCCAACATGGAAAAATTGCCACACACCTGAGGCTAATCCTGCTGTCTAGGACGTGTCTATCATCTCTCTGTACTTTCTTCTGTAACTCCAGTGTCTTTTCTTTTACTCCTTACTTCCCATCAGAATGGAAATATCCCAGTAATTTCCATTTCTGAAAGCTCCCCGTATCACTTTGTTCTTAAGTGGCAATCCTATTTTTGTCTTCCCTTCATTTTCAAATTTTTGGGATAAAATGGTGCATGCTTATTGCTACTGTGTTCTGCTGCCCATTTGTCTTCCAACTTTGTTTGATTTTGCTTCTGCCCTCAACATTCCATGAAACTGCTTTCTTCTTAGCTGTGGACCAGCCTGGGCCTGACAAATGCATTTACATCGATCTTGCTCTTCTTAATTAAATGTGAAATGTTATGAAAATCCATCAGGTGCCCTTAGGATATTGTTTTAGATATTTTCTACAACTTCTCCAAGCTAGAGGATGTCTGATCAATTATTTATTAGGAAGTGTCAGCCTCTTGAAAAAGACAGACTGCAAAGTTAAGAGCTGAATTCTAGTTAATCCTGATGGATCTGTGTGATGCTAAGGTTCTTTATGTGTGAGAAGCATAGTGTTGGGGTCACCTGCTTGCAGGAAAGCCACACCAGTACCATTAGTGTAACAACTGTGTGCTGGTCCAGAGTCTAGGATGTGACTACAGATGGTAGGAGAAAGAGACAGCCAGAGCCTACATTATGTGCGGGAAGTTAGTCCTGTCTACAAATGGCCATGTGATGGACTTTTACACTGAAACTTGGAGCCTACCCGGTGCAACCAAACCAACTTGATTCTCTGCTGGAGACTCCATTCCCTGCTTACACAAGTTCTTTTCAGTGGTCCCTTGGTTTATTCTGGAGAAAACTAACTTGCAGTCAGAAACCTAGTAGCAAGAGTGATGACGTGAAAACTGAGGTTTTTTGGATTGTGTGTTTTCAGCTTCTGCAATTCAGGAAAATAAGAAAGTGAAGATTGGTAATGGACATAGAGGGCTAATGCACAATATTCAGAAAAAAGACTTCTTTTTTATTTTATATTAATTAAAAAGTTCAGTTTACTTTGAAAGGCAGAGTTACAGAGAGAGGGGGAGAGACAAAGATGGGTCCTCCATTTGTTGGGTCACCTCCCATATGGCTGCAATAGCCAGGGCTGGGCCAGGCTGAAGCCAGGAACCACGAACCAAGGGCCAAGAGTTTCATCCACATCTCCCACATGAAGGTAGGGGCCCAAGTACGTGGGCCATGTTCTGTTGTTTTTCCCAGGACATTAGCAGGGAGGTACATCAAAAGTGGAGCAGTCAGGACTCAAACCAGCACCCATATGGGAAGCCAGAATCATAGGCTGATGATTAACACACTGTACCACAATGCAGGCCCCCAAAAACTTACTAAATATTAAAGGAAGCACCTTGAATAAAGCAAATATGCAAGAGCCTTTAAAAACTATAGTCTTTAAAAACCTTAAAATGGGAGAACTTCCAGAAATTCACCATCATAATTAAAGCTAAAAATACATTTAGGTGTGTCAGTGTACTACTTAACATTTAAATAAAATTTTAAAATTTTATTTATTTTCATTTTTTTATTTGAAAGAGGGAGAAAGGAAGATATGTGTATGTGTGTGTGTGTGTGTAGAGAGAGAGAGAGAGCGAGAGCGAATATGAATCTCCTGTCCTGTCTGTTGGTTCAGTACTCCAAATGCCTGCAGTAGCTGATGCTAGGCCACGCCAAAGCCAGGAGCCAAACTTCAGTTGGGTATCCCACATGGGTAGCAGGAGCTCAAGTATGTGAACTACCACCTGCTGCTTCCTAAGATGAGTGCAAGCAGGACGTTTTACTCAGAGTGGAGCCAGGAATCAAACCCAGACGCTCCAATATGGGATAGGTTTGAGTCCTGGCTGCTCCACTTCTGATTCAACTCTCTGCTATGGCCTGGGAAGGCAGTAGAAGATGGCCCAAGTCCTTGGGTCCCTGAACCCACATGGGAGACCTGAAGGAAGCTCCTGGCTCCTGGCTTTGGATTGGCGCAACTTGGGCTGTTGTGGACATCTGGGGAGTGAACCATTAGATGGAAGACCTCACTCTCTGTGTCTCTACCTCTGCCTCTCTGTAACGACACCTTTCAAATAAATAAATAAATCTTTAAAAACTATATGCTATAAAACAATATTAACCAAAACAGCAGAAAACATGTGTGTAATTGATACATAGATCAATGGAGTAGAATAGAGCATGCAGAAATACATTTATAAATTAAAAGCCAATAGATCTCTGAATGAAGCACAATGAATACACACTGGGGGAAGGAAAAAAAAAAACAAAAATTAAAACTTCTTGCATGGCAGAGAATAATTGGAGCAAAAAGGATCAGAAACCAATTTTTTTTAAATATTGCATTTGTTTATTTGAGAAATAGAATTACAGACAGAGAGAGGGAGATAGAGAAAAGGTCTTCCACCTGCTGGTTCACTCCCCAAATGGCTGCAATGGCCAGAGCTGGGCTGATCCAAAACCAGGAGCTAGAGCTTCTTCCAGGCCTCCCACGCAGATGCAGGGACCCAAGCACTTGTGCCATCTTCAACTTCTTTCCCAAGCCACAGCAGAGAGCTGGATAGGAAGAGGAGTAGCCAGAACACAAACCAGCACCAAATGGGACACTAGTGCTGCAGGTGGAGGCTTGGCTGACTGTGACACAGCACTGAACCCCAAACCCATATTCCTACCCAAGGAAAATATTCTCAACAACTATCATAGAAATAAGAATAATTTCATTAATGTATAAAACACTTCTATAACAGATTATAAAAAATGAAAAGATCCAATAGAGAGTGGTAAAATATTAGTATGCAAATTACAGAAAAGGAATTACAAAGCTCTTATGTAAATATTTACTAATAGCAAGAAAAATATTAGGTAGATTAATTACTATATTGTTCTTAATAATAGCTGTGCAAAAAAGCTCTGTTTGATAGCACAACTTGTTGACAAATCTGTGGAAAAATAGATATTTTCTCACATTGCCTTTAGAAATATAATTTTTTTTTTACTTATTTAACAGGTAGAGTTAGATAGTGAGAGAGAGAGACATAGAGAAAGGTCTTCCTTCTGTTGGTTCACCCTTCAAATGGCCGCTATGGATCGAACTGCAGCTATCTGAAGCCAGGAACTAGGTGCTTCTTCCTGGTCTCCCACGTGGGTGCAGGTGCCCAATCACATGGGCCATCCTCCACTGCCTTTCCAGGCCACAGCAGAGAGCTGGACTGGAAGAGGAGCAGCCAGGACTAGAACCCGCAGCCCACATGGGATGCCGGTGCCACAGGTGGAGGATTATCCAAGTGTGCCATGGCAATGGCCCCTAGAAATATTATTTTTTAAAGGTTTTATTTATTTACTTGACAGGCAGAGTTACAGACAATGAGAGAGAGAGACAGAGAGAAAGGCCTTCACTCCATTGGTTCACTCCCTAAGTGGCCGCAACAGCCGGCGGTGCGCCAATATGAAGCCAGGAGCCAGGTGCTTCTCCTGGTCTCCCACGTGGGTGCAGGGCCCAAGCACTTGGACCATCCTCCACTGCCTTCCTGGGCCACAGCAGAGAGCTGGACTGGAAGAGGAGCAACTGGGACTAGAACCAGTGCCCATATGGGATGCTGGTGCTGCAGGCGGGGGATTAACCTAGTGCGCAACTGTGCCGGCCCCAGAAATATAATTTTTAATTAATTTATTTATTTTCAAGAAATACAAGTTTCATATGTACAACTTTAGGAATGTAGCTATTCTTCCCAGCATACCTGCCCTCCCACCCACACTCCACCCCTCCTTCTCCTTCCTCTCCCCTTTCCAGTCTCATCTCATTCTCCATGAAGATTCATTTTCTTTCTTTTTGTCTTTTCTTTTTTTTTTTTTTTTGACAGGCAGAGTTAGACAGTGAGAGAGACAGAGAGAAAGATCTTCCTTTTTCTGTTGGTTCACCCCCCACATATGGCCGCTATGGCTGGTGCGTTGTGGCCAGCCCACTGCGCTGATCTGAAGCCAGGAGCCAGGTGCTTCCTCCTGATCTCCCATGGAGGTGCAGGGCCCAAGGACCTGGTCCATCCTCCACTGCCCTCCCGGGCCACAGCAGAGAGCTGGACTGGAAAG